CCAGCAGGGCTGGAACTCAAACCCTAATTAGCCAGGCAGGATCCAGTTACCTCCACATAGCACTTAACTATGCCACAGAGGCGGCCCAAATTCAGCAATTTTTAAAGCATCACACTGAGAAACTAAACATGAGAAAAAATGTTTAAAGTCATTTGCTTGGAAATAAAAAAATAAAATAAATAGAAGATCAAGTTTACTAGACCAATTTTTATCAGGAAGGTTAAAAAGGTTACTGTCTTGATTATTATTTTAAAGCTTCAGCTAATTTGAATTTCCCAAATACATGTAAGAGACTGCCTATTTCCATTTTAGTAGAAAGATTTCTTCAAATAAGTTAAAACACATTTTCTTACAGCTTTCAACTCTTACACAACTTAATTTAAACAATGTTTGTTATACCTTTAAATTCAGGAGACTGACTTTTCAATGAATATTTAATTTGCTTACAGTTAAAAAACCAGAAATACGAATTTACTAATCAATGCTTAAAAAAAAAAAACAAAAACAAACAAACAACAAAAGACACAAATACTTTGAATTCTCCGAAATTGGGGAGTAGAGATGAGAAGCACATTCATTTTACAAATAAAAATCTCACAGTACACACATTCTCCCATCTAATTCACTAGTAGGAATCCCACCCACCAGCACTGAACAGCTGTAATTCCAGCAAGCAAGAGCCATACCCGTGTGCATGCACTCATGTGAAAATATCACACACACTAAATTGCATTGAGGCCGTGACAACATGCAACTTAGTAATGTGCAATATCTCCACCAGAGCAAGCAGGATGGGAGCATCGGGGAAGAAGGGTGTGATGTGTGCATTCAGGAGACAGCATGCCGCTAAAGGGAGGAAAATGGTTTGGGAGTAAAGGCTGCATGCCGCTAACTCAAAAATTCATGAGATGAAAACCCAATCACAAATGAATTCAGTTCAGAAAAATACTTCATCGGAATTAAAATAATACTTAACATTAAAAAATTCAATGAGACGGTGATCAAAAGGAGCCATATATTCCAAGAACAGACTATCTGGTCATGCACTTAACCCCCAATTTCAATTCTACTTTTCTCTTATTAATGGATCACATAAATTGAGTTTAATGACTTCCACTTGATTTCAATATCCATGGTGATTGATGACTGACACTCATAAAATCTGGTACCACTGATAATTTGTAGACTAGATCACACTTTCAGGACATTAAAATAAAATTTTCATACTCATTTGTATAATATTTTTCTTAAAATGTTTTTCCATAAAGAAGCATATTCCTTCTTGAACACAATCCTTCAGAATGAAAAATTGTACAAGAGCTCTTAGGAATAGAACTCATGGCTGTCTTATTTATAGGAGACAGTACTTCAGAGAAATCTATATAAAGCCTATACATTTTAAATATAAAGAAATATCCCAATAAAGAAATATCCCAAAAGATGTAGACTACCAAAAAAAATCTTGAATTACAGGATTTAATTTGTACATCTTGATATAGCTTTGCTTAGAAAAATGGCCCGGGCCATAACACATTCTTTAGTTTGTACTATATTTACCAGACTCACAAAAAATGATTAGTGTTCAGAACCATGAGGATTTTATATTAAGTTTTTTTCTGTATTAAAAATAAGATGATAATAGGGGCCGGCAAGTGGCGTGGTGGTTAAGGGTGCTGGACTCCCACATGGCTGACCACAGTTCGAGTCAAGGACCTATTGGCTTGCCTTCTCACTTTTCCTCTCTCTCACTCTGTCCCTCTCTAGTCAAATTAAAATTATTAATTAATTAATTAAACTTCAATAAAATAATTCTTTTAAAAAATGATGATAAAATGATGGTTATAGTGTATACTTCAGTGTCTGCACTCCCAAAAAGAAAAGGCAAATCTGCCTGTAAAAAATGTATTTCCTGGGACCAGCAGAAGGTGTAATGGTTATGTTGCTGGACTTTGAGGTAGTTGACCGTGGTTCAAGTCCTGGACCTGGCAGCTTCAAACTCATGCCACGTGCACATGCATACATGCCCCAAATCCAAGAAAATGGAGGATAAGAAACTGCAACGTGGCCATTTCCCCCCTCCCCCGGGGGGCAATTTCTCACTTTCTAACTGTCTCTCTCTCTCTCTGGCAAGCACATGTGCAAAAGTCTCTGTTAAAAAAAAAAATATATATATATATATAGTATTTCCTTCTGTCTCTATAGAGAACAGCACTCTCAAATTTCAAACTCTCTGAGCTGAAGACCTGAAATTTCTAGCCACCAGCTTTGTGCATTCATTTTACCACCACCAGAAATTGAACTCATGATGTTCTCCCTCATTCAGCTCCTCCTGGAAAAAGACACCATGGCAGAACGGGACGTGTGCGGTCAATCAGCTGGACCCTTGTGCAAAGCAGAGCTTTACTTACCACTCAACTAGCAAGCACGACATTAAAGAACAAAGATTAAAACAAAGGAGGTGGTATTATTTGGTATGAAAGAAGGTGACTCAATGACAGAGAATGGTCAACTAAGAAAGCAGAACAAGAGAAAATTGATGAATTATGATTTGAAAATAAAAAAAACTTTCGTTAATACCAAGTCAGTGTTAAAAGGTTACTTCAGGAAAATGAAGCACCACCTTTTCTGAAATTCTGTTTGGACAAGAAAGGTATTTTTCTGTAGGGCTTGGCTCAAGTCACACGACTAGAGAATTTGCACCAGTCTTTGCTGGACTGATTCAATAGCTGTATCTTATTGATCAGATAAAAGGTTGTTTTTCCTTTTTGGTAAAGCAACTTGCATAAATGAGTCAGAAAGATACTCTTTAGATAGAAAACAACCTATGGCTTAAATTTTCTTCATTTCACTTACTTAATAAGGATAACCAACCATCAGATAGGTTTAGTAGGGAGGTTAAAGGCAGTACCTTCCCTAAAGGCTATTGATAATACACTCCCAAGCCTGGAATCTTCACATGACTGGCCCTCAGTGCATAACAAGGCACCATAAAAAGTTCTAAGAGCATTTTTAAATTCCTACTTGACAACTAATCAAGGAAACAAGATATTGGTGAAGACTTTACCCAGTTACTGCTAGTAGGAAAAAAAGAAAAAAAACTCACCAAAGTTTCCGGAGATGATAGACTGTGAGAACATGAATTCTATCTAAATGTAACTGAAGGTTTTCTAAAGATCACAGTGCTTTCTCCTTAACTATTACATGAATATAGTGGTGGGATGGGGGGAAACAATCCAGGATCCATCAGACAGCATTATCAGGTCAAATCAAGATTTCTATAGAAGACTAGTTCCAAATCATGTTATCTTTAAAACGCAGGTGCAAGCAGAAATCCCAGCCAAAGTCACTATTTAAGAGAAGCATAAAACTGCCTGGCTAAGAACTTATTAGAAAATGGAGCTCCAGGCCCAGCAGGTGGTATGGTGGTTAAGACAGCTAGATCTCACTTGGTCGAATGAGTGGGTTGAGTCCCAGATCCAACAGACTGAAAAATGCACCAGGCACATGTGTGTTGTGAGCACAAAATCCTGAAAGGAGAAATGAAGGAAAAAGGACTGTGGCATGATCATGCGTCATGGTGGGTTTGGGGGTAGTTCCTCACTTTCCTTCTCCCTTTCTCTGTTCTTCTCTGGTCAGCACATGCAGAAGGGAGGGAGGGAGGAAGAAAGGGAGGAGGGAAAGAAGGAAAGGAGGGAACGGAGGGAAAAGAAGGAAGGAAAGGAAGAGATGGAAAGGAAAGGAAGAAAGAGGGAGAGAAAGAAAGAAAGAGGGAGGGAGGGAGGGAAGGAAGGAAAGGAAGAGAAGGAAAGGAAGAAAGAGAGAAAGAAAGAAAGAAGGAGGCAGGGAAGAAAGGGAAAAGGAAGGAAGGAAGGAAGGAAGGAAGGAAGGAAGGGAGGGAGGAAGGAAGGAAGGAAGGAAGGAAGGAAGGAAGGAAGAAAGAAAGAAAGAAAGAAAGAAAGAAAGAAAGAGGAACTAATAGATAATGTGGGGGCTTTATTTCAGTAATTATTCCCAAGAAGTGCAAATGTAGTTGTCTTGTTGATGAGCAATGGACAGGCCGTGGAAGGAGCCAAGAAAGACCTGCATTGCAAATGCCCCTCTCTACCAGAAATGATGAAAATAAAAAGAGAGAGAAAGGAGCCAGAAGCAAGTGACTTGGAAAGAGCTCATGCAAAAAAAACTGAAGCAGCAGCTCTTTCAGAAACCATGCTTACAACACATGGGCCCCAGGAGGCATGACAAAAGTTTCTGGCCAGAACCTAAAACGCATATGAACAACATGACTTAAAGATAACCAAAGGCTGCTATTCCAGTACCAGCCTGTCCCTGACCAAGGTTGCAGGGGAAGAGAGAAACAAGGGGACCATCTACTTTCCTCCTGGAGCAAAGGAGAAGTCCCTGAGAACAGCAGAGGACATAGTGCAAGAGAGGTTTCCCTGAGCAACTGACACATGCTGAGAGCTAGACTAAGGTGCTGACAGAGACAGTCCATCTTCCTAAATCACAGGCTTCAGAGAAGGCTTTTGAAACTCCTTTGCATTTTCTTCTTATTAACATTTATACTGCTCACCTTATCCTTTCAAAATGAGATAAAAATCTTTTATTTTTTTTTGGAGAAGTTTTTTGCTATAGGGTGCATGTGATCGTCAGAAAGACAGAGACAGAGAGATAGAAAGCAAGAAATTACCTCCCCAGGGGGGATGGCCACAATGCAATCCCATCTCCTCCATTCTCTTCTTGGGATCTTGGGCATGCACACACGCGCACCTGGCTGAGTTTAAGCCACCAGGTCCAGGACTCAAACCGTGGTTGACTACATGGGAGCTCAGCGAAGTAGCCATTACGCTAACTGCTGGTCCCAATGAGATAAAAATCTTGAAAATACCAGAGTCCTTCACTAGTTCAGCATTGACTATTGCTAGGAAGTCTGGAGAAAAAATGGGCTTTTTGTAGAAAGTAGTTTCTGAAGGAAGCAAGAACGGCATCTATCTCATTCCTACCTGATGGCTTCTTCCACAGACTGGCCAATAATGTTGGAAGAAGGACCTGGCTGAGAGAGTGGCGTCAGGCTTATCACCCACTTCACGGGCTTGTAGTACTCATCACTGGAACTTAACAGATAAAATAGTGTGGTCAGGAAAATTATCTGCAAAACAAAGGACAGTATTTCCTAAAAAATCACATTTGGAGACAACAGGAAGACACACCTGCTAACGCCAATGGAACCAAGCACGTGCAGTCCCCAGGAAGGACATACGGCGTGCACTCGTCTACGCGTACCTACCAGGGAGAGCACGAAGTTGAGGAGGGCAGTCCCGCTATAGAAGAGGATGGTCAGGAGCGTGGTGACGGTGGTAAACAGCAGGCTTACGTTCCGGCTCATCACAATCCACAGAGACTCCAGGATCTGTCAAGGAGGGAAAGCTGGGTATCAGAACCAATCCTCAGGAGAGACGTGTCTACAGCCACCTAGTGTACTTCTAAGGCAGTGTTTTAGTATCATGAACTGAAAAGACAGGACCTGAGGACTACTTTAAATAAAAAATTTTAAAAAAAGTGTATCAACTCAAACACCTGAATGATCAACAATAAGGAAAATAGTGGAATATAGTGAATCCACTCCAGATAATATTAGGCAATCATTGAAAACATCTCGAGATCAGCAGATGGCGTAATAGTTACGTTGCTGGACTCACACATGGCCGACTGTGGTTCAAATCCTGGACCCAAAGGCTTGAAATTCATGCCGGGAGCGTGTGTATGTGTGCATGTCCATGATCCCAGGAGGAGAATAGAAGAGAAGGGATTATAGCATGGCCATCCCCCCAGGGGGTGACTTCTTGCTGTCTGTCTCTCAGGCAAACACATGCGCCCTATAGCAAAAAATATCTCTTAAAAAAAATCTCTACTACACAAAGAAAAATATCTCATGACTTAATACTATGTTTAAAAAGCAGAATACAGGGAACAGCAGATGGTGTGGTGGTTAAGGCGCTAGACTTCCACATGACCAACCGTGGTTTGAGTCCTGAACCTGGCAGCTTGAAAAATCATGCCAGCTGGGGCCAGCAGATGGTGTAGCGGTTACATCGCTGGATTCCCATGGGGTCGACTGTGGTTCTAGTCCCAGATCCTGTGGCTTGAAAATCAAACTGTGTGTGTGTGTGTGTGTGTGTGTGTGTGTGTGTGTGTGTGTCTCCAAGATCCCAGGAAGAAAATGGAGGAAAAAGATCATGGTGTGGCCATCACCTCTGACAGGAGATTTCCCACTTTCCCTCTCACTGTCCCGTCTCTCTCTAGTGAGCATACATGTTCTAAGGTTAAAAACCTTAAAAAAGAAAAAGAAAAAGTCATGCCAGGCGCATGTGCATGCATAGCCAAAATCCCAGGAGAATGGAGAAGGTATTGTGATGTGGCCATTCCTG